TGGACTGGCAATGAGCTAGTTTTATTTACTAAAGTGCCAATTTGAAAACCCAGATTTTATTGGTCTGGGATGATGTCATCATTCCAGCCCTATATTTAAAAAGAGGAATTCTGAAGCTTCACAATGATACCAAATGTAACACGATAAGTCACATCTGTTGAGCTAACAGCTTGAGTTGAGTGGACCCAAAACATCTAATCTCAACATTTTAAAATTTCTAATTTATGAACCTTAACACTATTTCTATTACATTCAGAAATATATTATTCCTGTCAGAAGTGGCCCAGGTAGCACAAGAATCGCCACAACAAGCTATCCAACCAGCCATGAATTGTTGTGAAATATTTTAGATAGACGGCAGAAATCCATCCTGGTCTTGACTCCACTCAGAKWAGCTGTTAGCTCATCAGGGTGAACAAAATGAAACCCTTTGTTGTCAAACTGGATCCATTCACAGACCTWTCTCTACAGCAAGTAAGTTAATCATAAACTTTCCACAAAGCCTCACTTCAAAAGATCTGAACAAGCACTTTAAAGTTTGGGAAACAAAGTGAAAATGCAAAGTAATAGAAATGGTACCATGCATAATGGTAAAATCAAATTAAAAAGTGATTTGGAGAACACTCATTTCCAAAGAAAATGGTGTCTGTCTCTGCTACTCATCTTTGAAATATGTCAGCACTTGATCACTCTGGCTATATTCTGTTGAGTCATATATTCAGGATCATACAAATATGAATTTTCTTACACATCACAACAATTCTGCTAACATGTTCCACTCATGTTGTTACTGAAAGTCATTAAATCCTTTCTGCCTGTCTTTACATATAAAATACCTCCTTTTTTTGTTTGTCTGTCTTTGTCTTACCAATTTACTATTATGTCACAGTGACACTGTATGGATATGATGGGAGACTGAGTGGGAGCAAGGAAAAGTGGGATAGGATGGCAAAAAACACAGGGGCAGGTAATACGAATGGATTAATGGTATTGCGAGCCATGAAGGCGTCTCTTCTTATTTCTTATTTCAAA